CGGCTTAAATTTAATTATAAAAAATTTAAAAATTCGGCAATAATTCGACATGCCGAATGATCAAATTTCGACTAGTGTATAGTAATTAGATTTATATAACAGTAATTAATGCTTTTATATTTTTATTACAAATATTAAATTTAATTTTAAATAAAACAATTGAATCAATTTAATATAATATTTGATATTATAATTTATTAAGTATTTTTTTTATATAAAGTAATTTTATATTAATTCAATAAGTATTAAAATTGTTATATTGAAAAAATATTGCAATATAATAATTATTTGATTAATATTATAATAATTATTTGATTGGTATTATAATAATTATTATTAAATTTAATATTTTTTCAGTTTTTATATTAGTTTTTTTTTATAGTTTATAAAATTATAATAAAAAAGATTTTAAAATTTTGATAAATAATGAATTTTTTATATTTTATATATTGTATATTGCTAAAATTTATAAATTTTTTTAATATAATTATTTAATATATTAATTAAATTGTTATTAAAACATATAAATAAATAATTGAATTATAATACAATTAATAATAAAATAATATTATATAAAAAATTACAATAAAAAATTTTTATTGTTTTTAATATACGTATTAAATAATTTTAATTAATCTATTTTTTTATAATAAGAAAAAAAAATCTTTAATGATTTAGTTGTGTAATCTTTTATGAAGTAATGTATCGTCGATATCGTCGATTTATACTATAATAAGTTTATTCGATATGTTGCACTAACAATGTTTTATAGACCACGTGAACTTATAATATATAGTCCTGAAACTCAAAATACGTAATAATTTCTTTTCTTCTTGCAGTAATATAACGATGGCAGACGAAGAGAATTCCAACGATACCGAGGTGCTCGACGAAGAGCCACGCAGTATTCTTCTAGGGCTCATTTCTCAACTGCGTAAGGGAATGGATTTACACAGAGTTACCTTACCAACTTTTGTGTTAGAGCCACGTAGTATGTTAGAACGGATCACCGATTTTATGAGCCATCCTGAATTGATTATAAGGTGTGTTCAATTTTTTATCGATTTACGGATTCTCTTTATCGAACTAAAACCTTTTAATTCCCAACAAAATTATAAAACGAAGAATGTAAAAAAAAAAAAAAAAGAGGGTTTTGTTTGGGTGTGTCTTGGTTTTTGAAAACTTCTATACAGAATTAGTCGGATCGGGGTTTTAGGCTTGTATCTTGCTATTTTTTGACAGTAATGAAATGATTGATGTTTTGATTTATATCAGTGTTTCTAAACAAGAAGATCCTCTTAAGCGATTCGTAAATGTTGTCAGGTATTATATATCAGGATGGCATATTAAACCCAAGGTTGGTTTGGCGTTTTAATTTTTATGAGAATTCGGGAAATTTTTTATTAATAATCAAAATTCGTTATAGGGTGTAAAAAAACCTTATAATCCGGTATTGGGAGAGTTCTTTCGCGCTCGTTGGCAATTCCCTGATAACACTGAAGCATGTTTCGTAGCTGAACAAGTCTCCCACCATCCGCCGATCTCCGCATATTATTACGCAAGTCCCGAAAACAACCTGATCATTTGCGGTGACATAAGACCGAAATCAAGATTTTTGGGAAATAGTGCAGCTACATTGATGCAAGGTGAATCTAAGATCATTTTCACCAATCGACCAGGTGAAATATATCGGATCGAAATGCCAAATGTGTATGCGCGTGGAATCTTATTTGGTAGAATGGTAATGGAGTTGGGAGACAACTCCACGGTTCGATGTGAGAAGAATGATTTAATTTGCGAATTGGAATTTCGAACGAAGGCATGTTCTTGTTTGGAGATTAATTTTGCGTATTCGAACTTCGTTCGAAAGATAACCTATTTATTTAAGAATTCGATGATTTACTAAATTTCAGGGATTTTTTACTGGTGCTTACAATTCAATCTATGGAAAAATAAAGCGTGAATCTACAGGAGAAGCACTTTATGAAATTACCGGAAAATGGTCAGACATCATGTACATTAAGGACCTTGAGGTAAATAACATCAAATATGAGGGAAATTATAAGATGAGCGCCTTTCGAAATCACAAATATTATTTAAAATATAGACAGGCCAAAAGGAAGTGCTATTTAGTGTTCAGGATTCGAAGATATATCCAAAGACTGTAGCACCAGAAGAAGAACAAGAAGAAAATGAATCTCGTCGGTAAGTTATAAGGTGATAGTGTCATTCACATTATTTTTGCTAATTCAACTTTTACGTTTTTGTCGTTTTATCTAGTTTATGGTCAAAAGTTACCAGCGCTTTAATAGGGAGAAATCTGGATCTTGCTACCGATGAAAAGTCCTTAATTGAAGACAATCAGCGTAACGAAGCAAAACTCCGAGAGGCCGAAGGGATTGACTGGAGGCCGAGATATTTC